AAGAAGAAAGCGCCAAGAAATACATAAAAAAATAAATACACATCACACCATAGCGGGGGGTTGCGATAATCTATTCCCAATCGTACATCGATGGTAGATAAATTAACATCAGAAGGGAACGAAATAAATCACACGACACTATCATACGCACAAGCCACGCGACGAACGTAGTATCAAAAGATGGACCCTCACTAGTAACAAAGAAACAGAATTTCGGCGAGTGAAAGGCCCAGAAATCAGGATTTTAAAAAGATTCCCACGTGATTCTAATGTGCAGCCAAGGTTGAGAACCACTGCCTGAAAGGGAAGCCAGCCCTGTTCATGCTCTCCTCTCTGTTTTTCTTCTCTAGCTCTTCTCCCAGGATCTGGCCACTTTGTCACCTTGATTGGTCCTTATTGTCACCTTCCATGACTTCATTCTGGAAGAGACCTGCTGGGCCTAACCCTGAAAGCAGTCTCAGAGAGGAGCTCTGCTCCGAGCAGACCCTGTCCAGGGCCTGCGGCTTCCTGCCTCAGGAGCTCCAAGATGACGCCCTGTCATAAAATGCAAAAATCATCACATGGGGTGTTGTGCCTCTGCATTGGGCAGTGGGGGCTTCCCCGCCGATGAAGGTAAAGTGCGCTTTCCACGCTGGCTCAGCAGGGTTTGCAGGAAAGATCGACGTGCGGCACCAAATTCCCATCATTGGTTCATTCAGGAACGGCTCACCGTGGCCTGGAGCTTTTCTCTCCTGTAAAGTGCCCTGATGCTCTGCCCTTAGTAGCCCAGCCCCCCCAGCAAGGGGCGGAGTCTTTGAGGTTATGTTGGGGGCAGTGATGGGCCTGGTGGGGGTTGGTGGGAGGCGGGAATGAGTGATGTGTGCAGAGCACTGAGCACAGTGGTGGCTCCGGGACACCTGATCGTGGGAACACCTGATCGAGGGGACATCTGATCGAGGGAACACCTGATCGAGGGGACACCTGATCGTGGGAACACCTGATTGTGGGAACACCTGATTGTGGGAACACCTGATCGAGGGGACACCTGATCGAGGGGACACCTGATCGAGGGAACACCTGATCGAGGGGACACCTGATCGAGGGGACACCTGATCGAGGGAACACCTGATTGTGGGGACACCTGATCGAGGGAACACCTGATCGAGGGGACACCTGATCGAGGGGACACCTGATTGTGGGGACACCTGATCGAGGGGACACCCGATCGTGGGGACACCCGATCGAGGGGACACCCGATCGAGGGGACACCTGATCGAGGGGACACCTGATAGTGGGGACACCTGATCGAGGGGACACCTGATAGTGGGGACACCTGATCGAGGGGACACCTGATAGTGGGGACACCTGATCGAGGGGACACCTGATCGAGGGGACACCTGATCGAGGGGACATCTGATCGAGGGGACATCTGATCGAGGGGACACCCGATCTAGGGGACACCCGATCGAGGGGAACACCTGATCGAGGGGACATCTGATCGAGGGGACACCTGATCGAGGGGACACCCGATCGAGGGAACACCCGATCGAGGGGACACCCGATCGAGGGGACACCTGATCGTGGGGACACCCGATCGAGGGGACACCCGATCGAGGGGACACCCGATCGTGGGGACACCCGATCGAGGGGACACCCGATCGAGGGGA